GATTTATTGTTTCCTCAGCCGCTTCACTATCTTCATTCTTATTTTCATCAATTCCATGTAGATTACGTTTGAGGTAATTTTGTATAAGAACATGAATGAGTGATATTCATTAAACTACGGTAACTAGATTTTAAAGTTATAAAATACCAAATATACTTACTATGTTTTAAATAAAATCCAAGATTCTGTCATGTTTCAAAAATGAAATCGGATACTTATGTAGTGCGTCCAAATTGAGTTTTTATTATATATAAAAACATTTTTACAGTGTTTCCACAAAGTTTCGATCTTGAAGTATTTTAGAAATGGAGGATGGATTTTGGACCGAGTTTCGATGTTCAAAATACATATATCTTTATTTTTACAACAAAAAAAGATTCATCCATTTAAGATAAGAACAAGCGGTTTTCTTTGAAGAAGAACATATGAAAAGTTTACATGTGAAAAATGGAGCCTCATGCTCGTGCCTTTGTAGGAAGGTAGTCAACACATATATTGTTGTAACGTGGAAAAAAAAGACAAAGCCAAAAGAGGAAAAGAGAGTTTGGAAACTGAAATCTTTTAACTCCAAAACATAAGCAGACTATTCATCTCAAGTAGCTATCAGCTAAGTTAACTTCTTGCAATGTATCTCAAAAGGGACCTTGATTATATATAGAGAAATGAGAGATCTCATTGTCCATAGAAGAGATTCAAACTCTATATGAAGGGGAAATTCAAATGAGGGACATATATATATATATATATATATATATATATATATATATATATATCTTTAATATTGTTACACATTTGTTTTTGGGACATAGTTCTAGTAACTATTTTTTTAATATCTAGATTTATTATTTATTGCAATTTATAAGCACGGTTATATATACGATTGTACAACGAACAATTCCTTCTGACCCTTGTTAGATCCACTACAGATGACATTTCTTTCTCCATGATTTTGATGGACAACTTCAAGGATCTACGACCTGACGACACTTCCCTCCTTGCGTAAAATCCTGGCAAACGGCTATAATTGTACATCGCTGGAGATCTCTTGCACACTTGTCTCAATAATCTGCAAATATGTTAATAAATCGCAGTATCTAGGATTCGAACCCCAGACCTCTTGGTGTGGAATCATTGATTAACCCTTAGTCAACCAATGGGCTAAGGGGGCTTCCACGTATAGTTCTAGTAACCTAAAACCGTTTTTCAAAACAAAGATTATTTTTTTGAAAAATAAGAAAGATTTCATTCCTTATTATCTGTTTTTTGCATTTATGGGATACTTTAAAAGGTTGTGAAAAAGTGATTTTCTTTTATGTTTCAAAGCGTTTTATTGGGAAGTAAAGTTTAAAATTCAATATTTCATTTGAAGGACAACCAACATTTATCTTAATTTGGTTGGCTGGAGGCTAATTCTTATCTTTTACAACCCAAATCCTAGATATTGACCAAAAAATACCAAAAAAAGGGATTTAAAAATAAATACATTTTATAAGAAAGTGCAAAAAATTAAATAATTACAATCCACAATATAAAATTTTCTAAAATACTTCATACCCTTTTAAGAAACCCTAGATTAAGAATCTCAATCACCTACCACCCAACCCTCTATATAAACATAAACCTAGAAATGTATTTTTTATATATCTCAGATTTAGTTTTCTCTTTTATCTTATAACCCAATCTTAATATTAACCCCAGATTTGTTACAAACCAAATAAAAAAAAACAGACAAAGAGTTCTTGGTTAGTGCTTGCATGTCTTTTCCATTTATCTCAAAAAAATTTGTGCCTTTTTGTCAGTAATTTTTGTCACTTCTGTAACAACAATGGCGGAGTTTAAACCCATAATAAGGAGGCTTCTTTAAAAACATATCCTTTTGGCTTCTGCAACAGAAATCTCCAGGTAAAACCATGAATCCAAAATCCAATTGAGTAACAACAATTCCAAAATAGCAGAAATCAAAATCTTAAAAATTCAACCTTTAGGCTAATCCATGTTTGTTTGTTTTGACCCATTTCTTGAAATTAGCTGCAGAAATGTTCAATTCATTGATCTGTTGTGTTTGTTTTGGCTTTAGGTTATTGAAAGGAGTGACCTTTATTGATTAGAGAATGATGGAGGAGAAATTGAGGTCAAGGGTTTAATGGCAAGATGGGCAGTTTCAATCATAGTTCATGTTCATTTATTGATGTTGAGATTAAGTATGTTGATGAATGTGAGGAGAGGTTAAAGAGTTTGTTTGATCAAGCTCTGTTGGTTTTTCTTGAGGAAGAGGGTAATAAAAGGCCTCTTCCTGCGGTTCTCGGTGATGGCGAAAAGGTCGATTTGTTTAAGCTGTTTGTGTTGGTGAGGGAGAAGGGAGGGTTTGAATCTGTGTCTAGGAAAGGGTTGTGGGAAGTAGTGGCTGAAAAGTTAGGCTTTGATTGTTCAGTGGCTCCATCTTTGAGGTTGATTTACTCGAAGTATTTGGACCAGATGGAGAAATGGGCTGTGGAGGAATCGAGGATTGTGAATTGGGATAATAAGGATAGTAAAAAAAGAGGGTGTTATGGGGGTTTGTTGCTTGAGTTAGGGGATGGATTTAAGGGGTTGTTGGATAATGGGAAGTGTCAAAAACGTAACAGAGATGTGGCGTTTGGTTGTAAGCATACCGAAGAGTCGTGCTCAGAGTTTGATAGGTCTAGGAAGAGAGTTAGAGAGAGTAATGATGATGATGATAAAAGAGTAGAAATGTCTTGTGTTGCTATTAGTGATGAGTCTGTTGTATGTGCTGTGGAAGAAGGTTTGTTGGAACTGTCCTTAGAGAAGAAGCAAGACGATTTACCGGGAATGTTGAAGTGGCTGGCTTCGGTTGCAACATCTCCTCATGATCCTTCCATTGGAGTTATACCTCACAGTTCAAAATGGAAGGAGTGTTGGCTCCAAGTGGCTAGAGCAAAGAACGCTTTACTGGTTCAGAGAAACAATGCTGAACTCAGATATCAAAATTGTCCATTTCTGGTAATGCCTTGAGTTCAGCTTTAATTTACTTTTGTCGATGAATTCAGATATTTTTCGTTCTCGTGTTACATTGATATAACTACTGTTTCTGCTACTCTAAGTATGATTTCTATTTCTTCCTGTGAGATAGTTTAACTCATTATGAACTCTTGCAGGGTCACCAAACTGTGAATCATCCTTCTATGTATGAAGATGATCGAAAGTCGATAGGGAGGTTAAGATACAGAATAAGGCCTCCAAAACTATCCAAACTCTGTTCGAGCTCGTGTTGCAGTGGAAGTAGTTTGGTCTCTCTATATAAATCAGGATTCAACCATTGCAGAGAACTGATGATCACTGAGGGAGCAGACCTTATTGCAGGAACCTCTAGAGCCACAGTGCGAAAAAAACCAGAGATCCGAAGAAGGTTAGGACCAAATTTCCAAGCCCAAGTGGATGAATGGACAGAAGGTGGTTTAGAGAGCGATACTAAATGGTTAGGAACCCGTATATGGCCATTAGAAAACAATGAAGCTTTAGATCATACGCTGGGAAATGGTGTGATTGGAAAAGGAAGGCCAGATTCTTGCAGCTGTGTCAACATCCGCCCTGGTTCTGTCGAATGCATTAGATTCCACATTGCCGAGAAGAGAATGGAGCTGAAACGTGAGCTTGGCGATGTCTTTTTACATTGGAGATTCAATCACATGGGAGAAGAAGTGTGTCTAGGATGGACAGAGAGAGAAGAGAAGATGTTTAAAGACATGATGATCGCGGATCCTAAGTCTTTCTGGAAAAATGCGGCAAGGTGTTTCCGAACAAAGAAGAGAGAGGAACTTGTGAGTTACTACTTCAATGTGTTCTTGATTAACAAAAGACGGTATCAGAACCGTGTGACTCCAAAACGTATAGACAGTGATGATGAAGGATCTTTTGGTTGTGTTGGTGGCAGATACGGTGGTGGTGCTGTTACTTCGGTTGGTTCAGATATTATGGTATGTTCTGAGAATCGTCAGTGTTTTGACTTTGAGTGAAGAAGCAGAAGATTGTAACAAAAAAATGTGTTGTATAAGGTTTAACTCAAAAACTTCTTTGGGAGATAGAAGAATAGGAGTTTGTAGCTTTTTCTTTGTAAGTTTTAAAATTCAATAACTAGCAAAAGGTGTAACTTTTGGAATCAGATCATTTCTGAGATTTTCCAAAAAAGTTAAATTTTTTTGTAAATTTCGTTATTTATTAAGCTTTCAGAAAGTTATTTTCTTAGTACATTTCTTTATTTATTACACTCATAATTCCTAAGAGTCATATACATCCGATGAGAAGAAAAAGAGTCAAAGTACATTTTAATTTAATTTCTCTCTTTTTCCAAAATATTCTCCTTCATAATAAACTATTTGTTGCACGAAACTTTGTCTTCTTTCTTTTTTTTCCTTTTGTGTAAAAATGTCTTTATATCTAAAAGACAAAAAAGAGAGAAACTGAAAAATGTTTAATGAATTAATTAGTAGTAGTATTCTTTTAAGGACGATTTTTCGAAATTACCATTTGAATATACTCTCTTTGTTCTATTATACTGTTGTAATTTTTTTTTAATTGGATGTTTATGGCTCTTAATATTCTGCAGTATTTTTTTCTTATTGGCTGAATTATTTCTAGTTAGATATAAATGGTGTTTATAGTGCAAAGAAAAAAAGATAAAATAGAATTTATGTAATATATAAAATTTGTGCTTTTTCAGTAGAAAATCTTATATAGTGGAAACAGAGGAAGTATTTATTTAAGAATTCACAATCTACGTACCTAAGATAACATGTTTTAAATTGAGTTTTGAAGAGTCAAACTCAGATAATTAAATGAAACAGTATTAAACACAACGTCTAAACCTAAAATATTCTATTCCAATAGTGTACTTAGTCAATAGAATTAACCCAATACATTAAATATGCATTAACTCACATCGAAAACACAAACAAAAACTCTATAAAATAGGCATGGTTTATCGAGAAAACACAAAATTGTTTTAAGTTATGGAGATGAAGAACCTTCTCAAAGTTTTGTTTTTCTTGTTCGTTTACTTGACGTGTTCAATGGCTATGGTACCATATCGTGGTTGTGACGTTATTGGAGTAGATTTGGGAGATGGATCGGGCAAGTACGAGAAGAGAGTGTCCAAAGAGGGTTTTTTGTCGGGTCGTAAGTTAGTTTCTGGTCCGAGTCGTAGTTCTTGTGGTCACTAATTGTCGGGAAAGTAAGTTTAGTAATAATAAGAACTTTATTATATGTTAGTTCTCTTGTTTATGTCTCTGCCTTTAGAGACCTATGAATATTGTAATGAGTTTTAACGATGTGCCTAATGAAATGAATGGCTTGCAAGTTGCAATATGAATTTGTTTTGTTTTGAATGTTTTTGTTTCATGTTTCGTTTGAATCTTTGCGAAACTCAAAGTTATAGGATTGCTACTTGCCACTGCCTCTTACAATACTTAATAATTTTTCATTTTATATGCTATTTCTCTTTTAAAAAATATAGGTTGGGTGCGCAAATATGTTTTGTTAACTTTTGATGTAATATTTTACAAATTTGATGTGATATGATAAACAAAATATATTATTTTTGTAAAATTTAGATGATGTTACTCTATGGTGTACATATGGTATATTTTAGAGTTTTATTGATAGTAGGTTTTGACACTAATATCCGCGTCCACGTCTTCAATTCGTTACCCGATTCGCACTCACCTCGGAAAAAGATACTCGTGGTTTTCAAATCGGGAATAAATATCATAATTTTATTATTTCCATATTCGAATCAGAAATCTGGTATCAATTTATTATAACTATCAGTCTTGTTTATTTGCATCGTTACCCATATATTACATGATCCATAAAGTACATTGCTAATACTTGATAAAAAAAAAAAATTACAACTATATATTTATATAAAAAATTACAACTATTTATATACTCTCTCCGTTTCATATTAAGTGTCGTTTTAGCCTTTGAATTTTGTTTTAAAATAATTGTCGTTTTGTGTTTTCAATGCAGATATTTGGTAAAATTTCCAGTTTTGTCCCTACTGATTTAATGTATTGACCAATAGAAAAATAATAAGATATATAGATAATGGGTAAAACAGAAAATTTAATTGTTTTCTTATTATGTGTGCAAAAACCTTAAACGATACTTATTATGAAACAGAGGGAGTATTTAAGGTCTAAATATGCATTTCCCAAATAAGGAGTTTTACTATTTGACATGTATTGCGATCATTGAAAAATGCTCGATAACATCTATAAATATTTTTATATATCAGCAAATCTAGGAGACTACTTTCATCTGGATTTGGCTCTATCATACAAAAACTATTCCGCAAATAATGTAATCTCAATAGTAATAAACCTTAACCAACAATAGACAATAATGTAATCTCAATAGTAATAAACCTTAACCAACAATAGACAAATCTTTAAAAGGATAACTATTTAATGATAATATAAAGACCAATGTTGATTTGTTGTCAAATGGCCCGTATAGCTCAGTGGTAGAGCGTCAGTTTTGTAAACTGAAGGTCCGTAGTTCGATCCTGCGTGTGGGCACTTTTTAATTTTTGTATATAAATTACTCTCCAGCCGATGAAGCTATTGCGCAATTCTGGTTTGTCGCAAATGAGCATTGGCCAAGACTCTAAAGGTTTCCTAATGTGGTTAGTGTCCCAAGACGCAGGATCAATGGGAGGGGCCGAGCGAATGCAGGTCACCGCAGCAACAAATAAATGACGCAGGCTCTCTCACTTGGAGAGACCTCAAGCTTATAAGCACACCTCCTTAAGGTGCAATGGAGGTCACTATCTTAGGCCACAGTTCTTCTTGATCAACCATTGACCCCGACCAGGTAAGTATCTTTCAACGTCCAACCTTCATCTACTTTTGTAACTTCTATCGAAAGCGAGTCCCGGCCCAAGCTCTTGATGTGGGATAACCAGTTACTCACAAAAATGGCACGAGCAGAACTATAAAAGTGACTAAACTTGATTACAACAATCTAACGATTTCAAACCAAACTTGAAAACAGAATTTCATTTCATCTGTAAAACTATATACATGACTGAGCTTGAACCAAGAAAAGAATCAAAAGGTTTAGCAAAACTCACAAGGTCGATTGATAATGAGAATTTTGTTATTAAACCATATCTCTTTATCTGTAAGACTGTAACTTAGCAAAAGTATCTATGATTCTTCTTCACCAGTTAAGGTCAAGCTGAACTCCCATAGTTTCTTGGCCAAATCTTTGTCTTTACCCTGAGAATGAGGGTTGGATATGTTGTTGTCCATCAAGTATTCTCCACTCACTCTTTTTGCCTGAGGATGAAGCGCAGCATAACACGTAGTTGCCGCTCCCTGCAACAACCATATCAAAAAACAAAGATACAAACTTGTGTGTGTGTGTGAGTTGAGACAGAATGATTAAATGCTTGAGCATGGTGATGAACTTGGAATTAGATGAAAAAATAAAAAACCTGACCTGTGGAATACTCTTCAGCACATACTTTCCCACCGCATTACCAATTGCTGCGTCAAACAAGAGAAAATAAATTCAAGACATTATCTGTTGGTTCTCTGATGCATCTATTGTTAGATCATAAACATTCATAGACAAACTTACTAGTTATGACGGCACAACATCTATGAAGCTGTGCAGATTAAGACAGAGTTAACCTTATCCTAGTTAATTATTTATACAGGATCAAACATCACCTAGGATATGAGTCACAGTGCAGGCTCAAACTAATTTTTTTACAAGGCTACGCAAGTTTTAGGATTTTTGCTTACAATCCGTTGATTATCCCAGTCAGTTCAATATGCAGTATTAGATAAACAAAGGAAACTCAGAAATGAAGTATAATGAGAAACGAATTTTACTATTTATGAAGCTGTGGTAGCGCAAAAGATTGGTCATAATGGATCCGGGATGAAGTGAATTAGCAGTGATATTCACACCTTGTTCCTGTTTTAAGTAAAACAAAGATGAGCCAAACTTAACTCCTCTAGCTTTCTCTTTGGCCTTTGGAATTCATAAAAATTTTACGAAAACACCCACGAAATGCTATCTTACCTTGAATTGCCTAGCGAGCTCAGTAGCGTGCAATATGTTACACAGCTTTGACTGACCATATGCTTGCAAAGTATTGTAACTGTTAAGACACAGTGAGAGCAATAATCGTATGTTGTTAGTTTGTTACAAATTCAAATTAAAAGTAATGAACAATACTATTACATAACAATCACCTTGCTTCATCATTTATTTTGTCAAACCGAACACCTTCCCGGTAAGCAAATCGATGACCTTCTGACGAGACAATAACAATTCTTCCTTCTCTATTGCTTTCATTAGCTGTTTTCTTCATTGTCTCCAAAAGAAGGTTTGTCAACAGAAAATGACCTGAAGAATTGTACAAACATAAACCTTATAACATATAAAATGTTCCGCATCAAAATTTTAAATGTATGTGACTATGTGAAACAATGGGAACAAACAAAAGCTCTACAAAGAAGGAAAAGTGGAGGAGATCATATGTTCTATTGATTAAACATACCCAGATGATTGGTTGCAAACTGTAATTCAATGTTGTCGCTTGAAAGCGTGAAGGGACATGCCATAATCCCTGCATTATTGCTACAAAAACAAGAACAAAGATTAAGCCGACTAACATGTATTAACATTCACGAATCCAACAATTACTGAAACAAACTATAAACTTAGGGACTTTACATGAGAAGATTCAAGGGATGGTTCAAAGACTTGTACTCTGATGCAAAGCTCCTGACAGAAGCCATAGAGCTAAGATCTAACTTCATTACATCAATCTTAGCCTCAGGTATTTCCTTAAGTATCTTTTCTCTGACTTGATTACCAGAATCTATGTTCCTTACCGCCATTACAACATGAACACCGCGAAGAGCAAGAACACGGGTAGTCTCTTCCCCAATACCACTTGATGCTCCTGAAATCAAATAAAACAGATACATCAAGAATCAGCAAAAAAAGTCTTCTCTTTTGCTTCAAGATATGTTCTTACAACAAGCCTGATTGAAATATTCCGATAAAGTTTAATCCTTTCGTCCATTAACAGATACCAACAACAACTTGAGTTCATGGGCAGTATCAAAACGCAGAAACTAAACTGTGGATCATAAAAAGTTGAAAAACATCTGCAAGAAGAAGAAAACCTGTGACGATAGCTGTGAGACCAGTACCATCGATTCCATGAGTGACTTCTTCAGCTGTGGAACGAGCTGAGAACCCAGATGCTCCTTTCCACCAAAATGGCCACATTTTGATGTTGTTTTGTCTTCCCTAATCTTTTTTACCAAATTTGAAAATCTAATCTCAAACCAAACCCTAGCTCTGATGATCACACACTCTGTTCTCAAATCAAGGCATAAAATCTCGTATAAAGTAAGTTTCATTTGTTTTGTTCCTTGATCCAAAATAAGAATAAAGATGCTGTATTTTATTATTTCTATATTTGATACAGATGTTAAATGTGAAATTTGGATTTGTATAATGTTCTAAACATTACATTAAATTAATGAAATAAGCAATGACAAAAATTGCATGGAAAAGAAGCTGATCGATGTCAAAGGTTTTTACAGCAGAAAGTTGGGAAATAAATTAGACAAACAAAGATCCAACCGAAGAAGGAAATAGCAACTCTCTCTTGGTGTTGTGTAGAGCAAAAAACGAGTCTTAACATGTTTAAAAATCTTTCATAAAACATATAAAAGATGAGCAATCTTCAAAAGAAGAAGAGACAGGTTTGGGCTAAAGAAGAGTGCTGTGATGTTGAAAATCCAGAGATATAACCTTTCATTCATTCCCATGGAGATTGAGACCAAAAAATTTATTATTACTCAACGCTGTGTTGGCCTGGGCCTGGAGCTTCCAAATGCAGATCGGCGTTCATCACTGCCTCTAGGACCAGAACCCCAACGGTCTCCTCCTTCAGCTGGAGGAGCTCTGTCCCTGCCACTAGTCCACCGGTCAGTATTCTGAGCCGGTCCTCTGCTGTTTCCCCAGTGGTCATCTCCTGGAGGCGGTCCACGGTTGGGCCAGCGGTCAGTTTCTGATGGTGTTGGTGCTGCTGTTGGTGCTGATGAGACCTCAGTAGTCTGGCGCTTCCACTTAGGAACATATTTGGCCGGACCTGATGCTGGTGCTGTAGCAGCAGGGGCAGCAGTTCCAGTAGGAGTAACTGTAGGCTCTGCAAGGCGAGCAGGTGGTGCATTAGTAGTTCCTTTCAACGCAGCTTCTCGTTCCAGCCTTCCTTTCTCCTCCACCTCTCTCTCTCTCTGCCTTTGCTTCTCAGCAATTTCATCCAACTTTGCT